AGTCAATGATAAGAAATCACCACTCGGGTGTGTCCACATTGCCCATCGCAAACTCTTCATAAAAAGCCAGGAGCTCAAGTTCTAAGACTCCTCTTTCTGGCTCTCACATAAGAAGGAAGAACGCCTTTAAGTATAAAATCTGAGCTCTACTCTAGAAGAAACAAAATCTCCACTTGGGTTGCCACGTTAGGGAAGTGGTACTGGTTTCGTTATTTGAGATCTCTGCGGCAGCAGAGTGCAAGGCAGGCTTCCTCTGCGTCACCTGGTCTGCAGACAGCTGGGAGAGGCGGGTGACACCCAGGCAGCCCCGGACCAGGTCCTGCTGGCCCAGAGCTCAACCTCGGCAGTCCACAGAAATCAAATGCCAGTTACAACTGGACTTGAACAATAACAGAAAGAAAAGAACTTAAAGATAAATAAGGATATTGTTAAACAGATATTATTAAAGAGACGAAAGAGGAAAATAAGGGTATACATCAGTAAAGTAGGAAAGCAGCTGTTACCCCGCCCTCCAGATAAACACACACCAACAAACACACAAAGTTGAGACACAAAAGAAAATGCTTACACATGCCTCAATTTTCACTTTCCCAATCTGTGGAGTGACTTAACAGATTTCACTCTCATATTCTTCTTCACATTTTCAGGATTACCAGAATCCCACCTGACATGACATGATCTTTAAATTCACCTGCGAGAAGACAACTGACTGCATTTAAACTCCATAACCAAGGTGACAGTTTCTAAAAATATACAGGTTGCTTTAAAGTTTAAGGGAAAAATGTAGGTTACACTTTTACCCATAAAATGTCTGGGAGACTAGGAGTTTAATAATAGGATACATAAGCCTTGCCCCTGGGTCACTGATTCAGGATGACTACAGTAGACTCTCATTTTAGCCATTACCATCCAGCAGCTGTTTTGTCCAAAATCCGCAGGAGAAATGTGCTGTGTGTCGCTATTAATACTCATCTGACAGGTGTGTACATTTCACCCCCTATGCATCTGCCAAGTGCGACACTTTGATGCAGTGATGAAAGCTGCAACAGCTGTTACCTTTAGAAAGCATGCCCAGTTTTCTGTCTTTATCCTAAAGTATTCAATATTAATACTTCATTTTACAACAGATTCTACTGTCGAAAACCAAAATCGGGAAGAGATCTGTGGAGGATTTCTGAAACGAAATCATATCGTTTCATTACTTCATTTCATTTCACGAAACAGAGAAAGCAACAACCATTCCTCCTAGGAAAATGTAGCAAAACCCGCTGAGAAGGGCAACAGTTCCAAAGGCTCAGTGGCCTGTAGGAGACTGCAGACGTCAGGGACTATGCACTTGAGCCAGCCATGCATGCTCACATAGGCCACTGGGGAACGTGCTTCTAAATGTTGTGTACCAAAACACAACGCACCCAGGCAATGTGAACCAATATAACCCCACCACCTCTGTCATGGCGCTTTAGAGACTCTAAGCCAACCCCTATGCAGAGTCAAAGATTGTAACTTATCGGTTCAACCCCTCACCATGGCAACAGGAAACTAGAGGGTACCTACTGCACTGTAAAGCCATCCATTCAGGAGGGCTCCCCTCAGCCACAGTAACAGCAACAAAGGGAGGATCGTGTTTTGAAAAATAAAGCCATTATATCTAAACCACAGTGTGGAGGTATTTATGTCATTGACTAATTTGCTATGTGTGTGTGGATACAATGATGACAGCTATCCAGTGACCTTGACCACACATTCAGTCCAAGGCTTCCGTGGAAGTGAGACTCAACCTTGAATCTGCATTCCTGTCTGCCACACCCACCTCCATACCTTCTTTCAAAGAATGAAGCATCTCCTTTCAGGAGAAAGTTAATTTAAACAGGCAATAGGCCAACTCACATTTAGGATGCATTGTTTTTATATTTGTATATAGTACCTAATAGGGACTCTCAAATTATGTTACATAATACATTATTTGGCACAGACTCAAATAATGGTGAAAAGTCACTAACAACTTTTTATTTGAAATACATCATTTTATTTCAAAAGGTCTTAAGAACCCTGCCAAGTTCAGGCTCGATAGATTTGCTTCTGTCACACCCAAAAAACCTCATAAAAGAAGAAAGAAAGTACTCGATCTGCCCTTTTGATCTTGTTCAGCAGGGCGACAAAGGAACTCTGCAGTTCAATTTTGTTTTAATTAGAACTGGTGTGTTATTACAGACCATGGTCTGCAATTCCACTACATGGATGAGGAAATTAACACACAAACAAGTAAGTGACACAGAAACACAGATCCTTTGAATACAAGGGACCTTAGCACTAACCCCATAAATATAACAATATTTATATATAACAATATATAAATATAAATATATTTATATTTTTATATAAATTTTTATATATTTTATATATTTTTATATATTGTTATATAAATATAACAATATAACCTCATAAATATAACAATCACAAGCCCATATTTTTATCCAACTGAAAAAACCCATGCCATTTTTTGTATAAGCTAACATTCTGTGAAAAAACTCTTTAGTTCCAGGTATACTAGCGAACTCAGCACACCCATCAGTTCTGCTGTTGTCTTCTGTACAAGAACCATCAAGTCTTGTGTTTTGTCTTAAACACCAAGAAGCTCGGGGAGAATTCAGTGCTCACACAGAACACCCCTTCCCAGCCACGGTTTCGGGGGTTGCCTCACCCTTTCTGTGTCACTCACCACTTCCTAAATTCAATAACTACTAGTTTAGCATCTGTGCATATGTCAGACAGGGTTCTAGGTGCTAAACACACAGTAGTGAATAAATTACGTGGAAGCTCCTGTCTTCATGGGACTTCATTATACAAGTAGAAGATAGAGTACGTGAGCATTATGGGGAAGATAAAAAGCAGGAAAGGAGATCAGGCATGGGGGGTCAGGCTCATCTTTAAAAAGAGTGACTAGTGAGGGCTACAAGGGTCACGTGCATACAGACCTGGAAGGGGGAAGTGGGAGGAGTAAGCCAGTCAAGAGAAGGCCTCAGGGACATTCCAGGCACAAGCAGCAAGTGCAAAACCCCTGAAGTGGCAGAGTGTGGCCTGCGTGACTCATCTTTCTGTTGTGTATTATTTTAAGGAAAACATATTTTTCATTATTGAAAATTCTGTCCCATACTTGGGAGGAGGATCAGGAACCTACACACGATCATAAATGCTGCAGACAAGCTTTAGATACTATGACACTGCAGAGGAGTTTTTAGAGGCTGTGTATTGGGATAATACTTCACCTTGACACCTTCCCACTCCCATTTCTTCTCTCCTAACAGATCAAAACACTGATTTCATAAAACTAACTCACAGAAGTAAAACAAAAGCAAAAACAAAACCTGCTTTGGGAAAGGACCACCTTTAGGAAATCAAACTGCAAGGCTGAGTATCCAACCCACAGGGATTACCTCTCTTGAACTTGTAACCCAATGTATTTGTGTCTGGTGTTTAACATTAAGCACGACCTGGTATTGTTACTCTGTTTACATCTCATTACGTGCTACTTTGTATTGTTGTGTACACATCTGCTCTCACAGTGACTTCACTGGAGCAGGGCTCATAACACTGGAAATGCCTGAGGGCCACCACTTGTCTTTACACATGGATGGTACAATATCTGTTTGACGATTATGTCAGAGAAGCAACCACAATGAGCGGCCAACATCCTCCTCTTTTAAGTATCTGTTTGTGAATAAAGCCTGAAAGAAACATCATCATGTCTTACAGGCATGTGGATAATCTCAACCATCTTCAGCAAGTTACTGTTTGTGTAACATTCCATTCTGTCTAACTTTCCCTTTGCATTCTCAGTTGGGTACACTGCACACTTTCCGTCTAGACACAAGCAGAGATTAGCCCCAAAGCACAAAGGAACCACACTGTGCTGTGCAGGATCCTGTGTACTTCGCTGCAGTCGATGTTATTAAAGGAAAGGGCCTCAACATGAAACTACCAGATCCAGAGACAGTAAGACACTGTCCATACAGTTTACAAAGACAGACAGAAACAAAGGGAACAACTTCAGTGAATGTGAAACACACAGAAGTATCTTGAAAGTATATAAACAGTGGCCTGGAGGGTGAGGGAAGGCTTCACAGAAAAGCTGGCACCTACACAGCCAGGGTGAAAGATGAATAGGCCTAGGACAATCAGACACAGGATCAAAGGGCATTCAGGATTCTGCAAAACCCTGGCAGAAACATAACACACTGAGCACGGCCAGAAGAACACATTCACCATCAGTGAAGGAAAGCAGGTCTGTTGTACTCTTAATCTTTCCAAGAAAAAAAAAAAGCTTTCACATAAGGAGCTGAGGAAGAAAGTTTCACCCCCCCCCTTGTTTTGCTAAACCTCTTAGCTTTGCTCTCTCCGTTTTGATACCTCTTAAAAAAAATTAAGTGCTGTGCTGGCATAAAAGTTTCCTGAGAAAACGTACTTTAACTTTACTTTGGGGAAAAAAAATAAAACTGAAAAGTGGGCAAGAGCCGAGGAATAAATAAATTACAGTTCTGGAATATATAAATGGAGCAAATTCTTTTTTAAACAATCAGGTATCACTGACCAGAAACATTAATTCCAACCTTTCCGTTCCCTAAGTGAAAACATATTTATTTTATGCCCACAATTTGTTAGTTTCTGGGATACCAGGCCTATGAGGCACTCTCACTGTCCTCCTTTCTGAGCAAGCTCTGGCTTGCAATCTTGTAAAAGAAATAAGCAGAGGGCAATTCACGGTGCCTTGTTTTTTTCCGCGCTTGCTCAGAGCAGAGTTAAATTCCAGTCAAGCTAACCAGTGAGGGCAAAACATACTTAAAGAATTACAGCAACTGAGAAGTAAGAAACTGACAGAGGTCCTCATAAGGGTATCTAAGCACCTCTTCCTGTGAGCAGGGAGCTGGCGAGCTGGACTTCCTGGCCAGCGATTTGGAATGCTGAATGGGGCGCAGAGCAGGGGACATGGGGGGTGAAGTTACCTGGGAGCTCAGGTAGACTTTGAGGCACTCCTCGCACACGGCCTTCTTGCAGCAGGGCAAGGGCTTGATAGGCTTGTCTTCCAGGCACACCCGGCACATCAGCACCATGAGGGGCGCATAGGGATCCCCCACCCCACCCAGGCCAGAGTAGGGTGGAGCTCCCAGCAGGCTGGGCACTGAGAACGGCTCGGGCGCCAGGTAGAACTCCAGCTCGATGCTGCCGCCATCGGGGGACACGGGGTCCGTTGGGAGGGACGGCCGGTGGCTCGGAAAGGAGGCGGGGGCGCTGGGAGGGTCCATCACCGGCGGAGCCCGAGGCGGCGAGGCGGGCGGCGAGAGCGGCTCCGCGGCGGGGTCCTGGGGCAGGTCGTTCTCCACGCAGAACACCGAGCAAAAGACTTGCCTCTTGGCGGGGGGCGGGCGCCGTGGACCCAGCACGTCCAGGACCAGCGCGTCCGGGGACCCGACGCGGGTCCTGGGCTTCGGCTCCTCTCCGGGGGGCACCGCCTGCGGCTCATCCCCTCCCCCTTTTCGGCCCCCGGCTTCTTCCTCCTCCTCTCGCAGCTGTTGTTGCAAAGTCTGGGGGTTGAGGGGCACCGTGAGGGCCGGTCCCGCGGGCTGCCGTGGCGCCCGGCTCTCCGTCCGGCCCGGGGCCCGCCGGCTCCGCGCGGGCTCGGGGGCGCTCGGGTCGGCGCAGTCCGCGTCGCTTCCGCAGCCGCCGCCACTCGTGTCCGCGGGGACCGTGCACGGCCCGGGCGCCCCGCTGCCGTCCCCCCGCGGCCGCGGGGACTCGGGGCGGCCCGCGGCGGTGCCCGCGGGCTCCCCCGCCTCCTGGGGGCCTCCGCCGCTCACCGTGCTCTGCTCCTCGCCCATCGCCGCCCGCGGCCCGCGCCGCCGCGGCCCATCCAGCCGCCGGGACCCCCACCCGGCGCCGGCGGGCAGCGCGGGCAGCGGCTCGGCTCGCCCGGCGGCCGCGCTTCTGCTTCCGGGTCCCGCCGCCGGGCCCGGGACGCCGCGAGCTCCCCGCGGGGCGCCCGGCCCGCCGCTGCTCCGCCGCGTCCTCCCGCGCGGCCGGGCTCCGCCTCGCGGGCGCCGAGGGCCGCTCTGTCCGGGCGCGAGCGCGCCCGTCCCACATGCAGATCCGGGCGGCGCCGGGGCCCCGAGAGCCCGCGGCGGGGCAGGGGGGTCCGGAGGGCGGCGGCGTCAGTCCCGCGCCACCGCGCGTCCCGGCTGCGGACCACGCGGGACGGGCGGCGGGTGGGCGGCGGCCCTCGGGTCCCCGGGCCTGTGGCGCGGCCGCGGCGTCCCCCGGGAGGTGCGGTCCGAACGCCAGCCAGCGGCGGGGACCCGCGGGCAGAGGCCGGAGCGGGCGACCGCCGCTTTCTCCCTTTTCTCAGGCTTCACCTCGCGCCCTGCCCGCGGCCCCTGACCCCACCCCTCGGCGCACACCTCCCCACACGTACACGCGCCGCTGGCACACGCGCGCTCACCCACACGCACCCCCGAGTGGGTGTGATCTTAGGAGCCGTGAAGCGCCGTCGCGCCCGGAATTCACGCTCGGCCTCCACAAAACCCTTCGGAGCAGGCAGGCTGCCCTTTGGGTGAGACATCGAGTAGGACTTCCTGCAAAAGTGCTCGCTTCTCGGGGCTGGGAGGAGAGAACACTGGCTACAGAGGATTTGGTTTCTCTCGTTTCTCTTGGATCCATCCAATTTTACGTCCCCCAAAAAGAGCGTTCAGAGAAATACTCTAGGAATTATTCATTCAAAATGTGGTAGAGAAAGCTGTTTTCTGCCTAATGGGGTAAGAAGAATTTGAAATCCACACACAAGGGGAAAAGCACCTTTAAGTTGGACCAGAGGACCAAATGGAATTCCGATGAGCACTAACTAATGAATTTAAGATTTATCACTTTTTCCTCCTCTTCAGTGTTTTTTTAAGAACTACTTTTAACCCTTTAAATATTACGAAATGAGTAGCACAAGATCGTAAAATGGCCTGGCCTCGTTATGAAACTGAATCATTGGTGGGAATCATGAGTTTCATTAGCATAACCATATTTATCTTCAAAACTGTTTCCAAGACAACAATTATATTTGAGCCAGAACTTAATTATGTGTTGATCTATCTTTATTTTACAGGAAGTATTAGTCACCCAGACTAAGTGTGTTTGAGTTCCCTAAAGCCAATGAAAACAGTTTTGGGAAGCCAGCCCTTGTGTTTTCTATCTTGACAGAGAATTCAATTTACACATTCATGTCATAGGAGGGAGTTGCGAAGAGTGTGCATTTTTTTTAAATCTTGAATTTGTTACTGGGTTGTTCTAAAATATTTTCCAAATCAGATACAAATGCTAGAAAGGTAACTACCTATGCAACACCAGAAAGCACAGCGTAACACTGCAGACGGTGTCTATCAGTGTGCCTGACGCTCAGCTGCGCCCCAAAGGGATGGACCCGAGCTGTCCGTCCAAATGCCAGCTCATTTATCAGTCTGACCCAAGAACCAAGACTTCTTATTTGGGAGATTAAATACTATTCAGAGATTTTTTTTTTCATGTTGGCTAATTAATTTCCTGGTAACTGCTGTTTTCACCAAATACCTCTAGTATTTACTACTTTAAAGGCAGGATCAAGAGGCCCACATGCGTGCCTTTTGTGTATGCCACCTCAAAACTATTCTTTAAAAAGGACTACAAAAATATCATTTTCCATGTGACCACAGGCTGATCGTAAGACCAGAGGAACCATTATGGATACAAAAAAATTTTTTAAAGTATATCTCTAGTATCTGTAGGAATGAAACCCCTCAAGCTCCTCCCATAGTTTAGGTCTCCCTACCCCTGCACACATTTGTCATAGGTATTCCAAAAATTTGTTCTTGCAAAGCCCACCATTTTTTCCCTTTATACCTCATGTTCCAGTTCATTGGCAGGGCTTTCCTGGACACGAAACCAACTCAAAGTTCCTGCTAGGATTCCTGAACACGGCCTGTGGCTCTCAGCCCTACTTACTGCCCTGACTTCCTCCCTGTGGATTTCATCTGGCCTCTGGGAAAAGAGAAGCATGCATACCATATCTTCAACCTCCCCCCCGGCCCCAGACAGCCTCACACTTGTCTGAGTCACTGGCCCAGCATCCACTGGTGTTCAATCTGGGGTCCATGGGACACCAGCAGCATGGAAATAAGTTAAAAGGCGAAGTTAAAACACTGGCTCTAGGGTTGATTTCCCCTGAAAAGAAATGTGTGAAGTACCTATGAAGAGTGTACTGATAGGGTTCACTTTTTTAAAAGGATTGCTTGAAAATATACTCTAGCATAAATTTCACTTATCTACTGCAAGCTTAATATTCTTGAAACTTACACCATCTGCTCCTGCCAGACTATATCCAGGTGTTACTATAACATAAGCACGACCTGCCACCACCAGTTTCAGCTCCCAATATTCTTCACCTGCAATAAGCTATTCTTCCCTAAGCCTAAGACTCTGAGCTGGAGAAGTGACATCGTCAACTGCTTTTAGTCAGTAGTGAACAGTATTCTTGATCGTTCCACTCTTCTTATCCCAGCTTTTAAATACGACTTTATGTTTATTTCCCCGACTTTATTTTGTTTTGGTTTTCTTGACAATTTTTATTCAGACATTAATTAGAAAATTTAAAATCCTAGATTTGTTAACTTACTAGAAAAATGTCATGAGGTGTCAAAAAAGATGTAAATTATTAAACTTTACATATTAAAGGTAAAACTAACCTTTTAACTGTTGTGGAGAAGAAATATATAATGTTTAATACAGTGAAATAATTATACAGCAAATACCTGACTTGTTTTTCTACTAGTCCTTCAATGATCAAATCAGGTAAAAAGCAATAAAAATCATTTCTTTTTAAAAATCATTTCCTGAAGAGGAATGGACAGGGTGGAATGGCTTTCTAGGTCTTCTGACAGGCACAAGGGAAGGTTTCCTATTTTCTACCCTCTTTGGCCATGGAGGAAGAGACCAAATTATTAGGGGAAAGGGCATCAAATAAAACAGAGAGGAATGTAATTCTTTCACTTTCTTTTTGCATGAAAATTCCACAAGGAAAATCCAAATAGCAGACTTTTATAAGATAATGTTAAAAATAAAACAAAACAGTATATTTCTTCAAACTGTAAAAGGAAAGCCCCAAAGCTTGGAAAACAGAGAAAACCAAAAATAAGGAGGAATGTAAAGAAGAAAGGAAGGAAGGGTGGACGGATTTACTGCTCAATATAACCACTGACACTACTTTAACATATTGGTATATTTTATTCTAGTGTTTGCCTCTATGTGCATTAAATATATATTAAATGATATATGCTCTTTTTTGTTTTTCTTTAATTTAGTGATATATTCCGAACATTTTTTATATTATTAAAACATCTGTACATCAGGATTTGTGACCACAAAGAATTTTACTATATAGATGTGTCCTTATTTATTTAACCAATTTAATTTTTAAAATTTGATTATTTATTATTTTAAATATATATAACACCTAATGAGTTCGTATGTATTATATTAACATAGAAAATAAACTTTGTATACATTCCTCACATACCACAGCCTAGAGTCCTAAAATTAAGTTGCTGCAGAAAAGAGTAGATATAATATTGAGGCTTTATCACAGAAACTTGGCACCAATTCATAGTCCTGTCACTAGTGAGAGTATGAGAGACACTACTTCTTTCATCGCTGTAAGGAGATTTTTGAAAATTAGAAATGGTGTAACTTATATCTCACTTTTTAGTTAATGAGCACACTCTTTTCAGTGAACAGGGAAACAGCACACATTAGCTGTCAGTGACTCTTGGGATACGTGTGACATATCACCGTATGGACGGCCCTTTATTCCCGAGGTTAGGGTTGCGACAGCTCCCCCATCCTCATCTTTTTTAATTTCCTCTTTACCTCTTCTGTTGACAATAGGGCTCCAAAAATGTTCAGAGCTCAACTCCATCATAGTTAATACTTCTAAATCCGAGATGCCAATCCCTCATTTATAAAATACGGTGTATTCATTTGATTCCCCCAAACTCACTCCCTAATGAATACTGTGCAGAGGAAATCGCATCTCAGCCCACCCCTTGGAAGCTGGTTGGATTAAGACGAGAAGAGCTTCACTAACAGAGCAACATCAACCCTTCCTCCCCTGAGAGGAACAGTCACCTCTGCCTTGAAGGAGTGCCCAAGACCTTGTGGTTTCAAGGCAACTCAGAGTTTCCACTCCTGTGGTTCTTGTTTACTAGAAACTGTCAGCCGTGGCTCTGCGTCTAGAAATCCCCAGACTCCTCTTCCCAAGGCACATGGTCACACGAGAGAAGCAAGTTCTCCCTGTTCCTCAGCTTCCCTTTCTGAAAGGGGTGTCAGGTCACAGCCGCCCCCTGACAGGCTTTGTTTACAGCAGGATTCAGAAAAATTTACAGCCTGGCTCCTCAGAGACCCTGAGACTGGAATGCTTTCCTTGTTGGGTAAACAAGTGCCAGATAAATCTCTTTTTGTACAGCCCCCGAACCATCCTTGCTGGCTCTTTCACAGTGAAGGCTATCATTCTGTCCAAACTAAAGATTAATCCAGCATCAAAGCAACAGAGACGAAGGTGCACTTGTACACGACAATGCTTTTGGATTCACTTAGCAAAAGGGAAAGTAAATCTCTTCCAAATCAGGAAGGAAAAGGTAATTCAAAGAAAATGTGATAAAACAAAGGAGAAGTGTTTATACCACCGTGTTAAGTGAAAAAGGCAAGAAAATGCAATGTGTAACATGGTTACAACAGTGTAGCATGTATATGATACAGTAAAGGCAGAAGTGATCGTGGTTATCCCGCTCGGTGCCCTTTTCCCTGGCAGCGGATGGAAACCCGGCTGCGATAGACCTCCCCACGGAAAGGCCTAAGAGACCAGTGTGGAGCAGGAGGAGCAGAGCCTTGGGCTTAGAGCCGT